CCTGAGTCACGGATCTACCCAGATGAGTGTGTGATCCAGAGCAGGTCTCGACTTCTCTCAGGCTTTGCTACTCATTTGCTCACGAGGGTAAAGCACTTGTTAGCATTTGTCATTGTTTTCCGCAGTATTGGAGATTAAACCCAGGACATCACGCATGCTAGACAAATCCTTCATCACTGAGCAACATCCCCAGCAAATTGTCCAGACTGGTCTAAACTAGTGATCCCACCTCTTCAGCTTCCCAATTAGCTGGAATTGTAGGCATGCATCACCATTCTTGGTTGTTAATGTTGTTATTTTTCCAAGCTTAGTTTGCAGAACTAAGTTTGGAAAAATACAGTCTTTGGAGCTTTGAATAAAATGTAGAATCTATAGTGTTTTGGCAGCTAAATTCTATTTTGGTTTTAAAAGGAAAAGACCAGGCAGGAAATGTCATCTGGTAGTCTTACCTTCCTGAGTCCCTGTCTGATGTGCCTCTGTCTTTTTATTTCAGGACACCAGTAAGGAGCCGGATGTGTGAGAGACCCTCTGGATGCAGAGACTAGGGGAATGGGCCCAGGGTGGGAGGGACAGGGCCCCTGGAGGGGAAATGGGGAATTGTGTCTCCTCTGCTCAGAGAGCAGGGACTAGAATAGGAACCCCACCGCTGTGTCCAGCAGTCACTGAATCAGGATTGAAAATGTGCTTGAAACAGTCACACAGGACACTTTTCTACGTTGGTGCAAAACGAAATATTTTGTACGTTTTTAAAATGTGATTTTTGTATATACTTGTCTATGTGTGCCAATTTGGTGCTTTTTGTAAAGGGACTTTTGTATAATAATGTTTGGTCACTGTGGACTGGCTATCGTGAAAGAGGGAAAGGAGGCCAGGTCAATGGAGCTGCCTGCTTTCTTTCCTTGTGGGAAGGCTGGGTCACACTCGTGGACCTAGAAGGAGATAACGTACTGTATTTCAGTGCCCATCCCTGATGTGGGGGAACTGAGATTGTTAAACGTTGTTTTATTTTATTTTTTTGGTACCGGGAATCGTAACTCAGGACCTTGTGCTTGCCAGGCAGGCGCTGTGCCGCTGAGCTGCATCCCCAGTCCTATATGTTGTTTTAATAAATGCACAGTGCTCTCTTCCTGTTATTACAATTGAGCTGAGGTTTCTTTCATCCTGTTTTTTTTCGGGAGAAGAGAGTTGAGCGCGGATGAACAGGTCTGACAGGTAAAAGGCATGGGCAAGGCTGGGCTTATCCCTTCACAGGGGAGCTTTACACCAGCATTTCCAGCAGGCTTGTCTTAGAAATCTGGCCCTAATTTCCACCTAACAGGTTCAATGCTTGTTGCCCTGGTTCTCCAGAAAACAGGCCTGAGGCAAAGTCTGAAGGCTTCACCTGCCATCTTCACTTCTGGAAGATTTCCTAAGGCTAATTCAGACCTTAAATCTGAATTTCAAGGAATCAGAATTGGTTCTCATTTCTAGCCCCTCTTCAGTATTTTGTTTTAATTTTTAAAAACTTACGTAGCACTCACATGCACTCACACAGGTGCACAAAACAAAGTAGAGTTTTAATAAATGAAGCCTTCAGGGGCTGGGGATTTAGCTCAGTGGCATAAGCACCTGCCTTGCAAGCAGGCAGTCGTGAGTTCGATCCCTGATACCGATAAAAAGGAAAAAGACAAAAAAAAAAAAAAAAAAAAAAGAAGCCCTCTGACACAACTACTTAGGCCAAGAGAAAGATCATTTCAGCCCTCCTTCTGCTTTTGGGAAGCCGTCTTTTTTGACAATCACACACTTGCTTTCCTTTACAGCTTTTCTGTTTAAACTCAGAAAGACAGAGGCCCGCACTCCCTGAGATCACAAGAATCAGAACCTGTGCACCTACCTCTGCAAGTTAATGATTGCATGGAAAGCAGGCATTTCAGGTCCATAGCTGTTCCCACTTACCAGGCCAGCCAGAACTTTGTGGTCCGTTCGTCTAAGTTCTAGGAGGGTATCTGTTCACCGCAGATAAAAGGGTTCCTCTGCCACACAAGGGATTCTGCCTGTCCTTTCAAACCTAAGGCTGGTGTGAACGATTATTTTGCTTTGTTTTCTGGTGTTGGGACTTGGACCCCCGGCCTAATGAGTGTCCAGTGTGTCCCATTGGGGGACACACCCCAGCCCACATGAAGGGTGCTTGATCAGCAATATTCCTTTAAGATCTTACTGGCTTTGAGGGGGTTCCTTTTCTTCCAATGAATCTTAAATACAGTTCCACAGGTTGCTATATCGGAATCACCAGGCAAGGTTTATTTTTCCCTGAGCCTTTAATTCTGGGACATTTTTTACCTATTGAAAAATAGAACACAACAGCATTCTCACATGTATGCTTTGCTTTTCGTTAGTTACTGACAGAAAGTACCTGTTTCTTCTCCTCCATTACCCATTCCCCTCACTGGGAGGACTTAAAAACAAGTCTTAGATACCTCTTTATTCTTCCGTACTTTAGACAATTATTCTTTAAACAATCATAACTATTTATGTATGTATTTATTTATTGAGGCAGGGTCTCACTATGTGGTCCAAGCTGGCCTTGAGCTCACTTTGGAGCCCAGGCTGGTCTCCAACTTGCAACAATCCTCCTGCCTCAGCCTCCCAAGTGCTGGGATTACAGGAGGGTGCCACCATACCTGGCTATAACTTTTAATTTAAAAAAATTTTAAAAATCATAACCTTTAATCTATACCACAAAAAACTTTTTTGCATTTAAAGGAACAGAACTTTATAAGGACTCATTGTTTATAAAGATGTTTTGACCTCAGATAGTTATAAGATAGGAACCTGAACAGAGGGCACTTTGAAACTACAAACTCAGGAGATATGATTGCACATGCCTGTAATCCCAGCATTCTGGAGGATGAGGCAGGAAGACTGCCTTGAGTTCAAGGTCAGCCTGAACTACCTAGCAAGACCCTATATTTTTTTTTTTGTCTTTTATGTTTTTATCAGTACTGGGGATCAAACTCACGACCACCTGCTTGCAAGGCAGGTGCTTATGCCACTGCGCTAAATCCCCAGCCCCTCAAGACCCTATCTTAAAACACACACACACACATAGACACACACACACACACACACACACACACACACACACTACAACCTTATATCCTCAATCACCCAGAAAAAATTGCCATGAAGCACCTGCCTCACTGTCATATAATTAAGTGAGCAACCTTAGAGGTTTCTACTTATCTCAGGCTAATTTATGAGTATTTAATTTATGTGCCTTGTAAATGGTCAGAGCTGAACTAAAATGTGACAAGTCATCCCTGCTGTCAGTGAAGATAGCTGACTACTTGTCGAGATCCCTTTCCTCTCCTCGTTCCTGTCCTGGAAGTTTATATTTATAATCCTATGGAGAAGTTATTGGAATTCTATGAGTTAATTCCAACCTACCACCTCCAGTGCAATCCACAGTGAGAATAATGACACTAAGACATATAGTTATGAGGAGCCAAAGGAGGTCCTAAGTCCAGCCAAGATGGTGGTTCATTGGAACAAGGGCTATGACCCAGGGCCCAATCCAGGCTGTATTAATTCTCCGTGAAAGCAGTGGCTTGGGGATGACTGACAGTCAGAATGGCGGGAAATATGTGATTGCTGTGAGCTGGGCTAGGTAGGTGGCTGATAGTTCACCTCTGCAATATGCAGAGTTTAAGAAATGCAGAGTAGCCGGGTGTAGTGGCTCATGCCTGTAATCCCAGCACTCAGGAGGCTGAGGCAGGAGGATCATTGTGAGTTCGAGACCAGCCTGGGCTACAAAGTGAGCTCAAGGCCAGCCTGAACTGCACAGCAAGACCTTGTCTCAAAAAGACCAAAAAAAAAAAAAAAAAAAAATGCAGAGTAATCTGCATGACATAACTGAGGTAGTATCTAATATTTGGGGTCAGTGCTTCAGCTCTGATGCACGATCCTTTTTTGCCCTGGGAAGTCACAGTCTTTCTTGGGGCTTGATCCCAGCTGATAGCATGAAACACAGCTCTTCATCCCACCCACTACAATCATGTTTTTCTGGGAGTCACTGTTTGCTTCAAAGAGTACACATCAGCTCCTCAGCCAGCCCAGTTTTCATCACTGAAAGCCAATTGAAGGGACAAAGAAATAGCCTAGCCAGCTCTGTACATATCAATACATGGAGACAGGCCAGGTTTATCCAAAATGGAGATGGTTGCTCTTTCAAGGTGAGTCTTCTGGGTAGTTCCCAGAAGACAACTTCTAGTCTGAGATCACCTGCAAGAATTTCCTAAGAGGTCCTCAAACCTTACTGCATAGGCACGGCCTTCTCCAGGTCCCATGTCCAGAGATTCAGATTTAATTGGCCTGATACAGGAATCTGTAACCTGCATTTTAGTTTTGCCAGGAAACACTGAGCCTGCTGGTCCTTAGCTACATTTCAAGAAAACTAAAAAGTCTTGCCGGGGGTGTAGCTCAGTGGTACAGTGCATGCTCAGCATGTACGAGACCTTGAGTTTTGTACTCAGCACTGAAAGACAAAACACACACACACACACCTAGGAACTCCAAGATTTCCTATCTTCAGAGTCCAAAGAAGTGGAAAGGCACTGAGCAGGGACCTGAGCAAGGCAGATGTGCTCAGTCAGCCCCAGTCCTTGCACCCTGTCCCTTACAAAAAAACTCCTGTAGGTGGACAGACTGAAAGAGTTCCTCCCTGTCCCCAGTGGTGTGGGCAAGAGGCCCACAACCCACATTCTCTTTCTTTCTTGTTTTGTTTTGTGACAGGGTCTTTCTTGCTATGTAGCCAAGGCTGGCCTCAGCGTCTTCCCTGATGGAATTACGGGCATGTACCACCATACCCAGCTTCCTCCCTCTCTCTATTCTCAGCCTTCCTTATGGAGCTGGGAATTGATCCCATAGTTCTGACACAGAGGAAGAAACTCCCAGCCTGCTAGATGTCTGGTATGAGTTCGTGTTCTCTAAAATTGAACAATGAATTTTAGGAACAATGGAAATTAGGAGCAGAACATATTTATTGAGAGAAAGAAAGCTTCTGTCAGAGAGAGAGAGAGAGAGAGAGAGAAACAGACAGACAGACATGGTTCGGAGTGAGTTGCTGAGGATTCTGCCTTTTCCAGGGATTTTATAGAGCAAAACTATGAGGTGAGGTAGGTCCAAGGTGGGGGAAAATGGGAACTCAGAAGGCAGGTGGACATGAGGTGGGACAGAATTATGGTCAACCAGTAAGATCACAAGTAAAATTGATTAAATTGATCAGGTAAAATTGATTAAATCTGGATCAAATGGGGAGGCGAGTCATATAACAAGTAGATAAGAATACAGAATAAAGGGCTGGGGATTTAGCTCAGCAGCATAAGTGCTTACCTTCCAAGCCTGTAGTCCTGAGTTCGATTTCCCAGTACCAAAAAAAAAAAAAAAAAACCAAAAACAGAATAATACAGACTAGGGTCTTTGCTTCTTTGCTAAGGGGTTGGATTAATGGCCCCTTCTGGTTTCTTCAAGGTGATTGATACCTATTTAGAATATCAATCCCTGATGTTTATACTTAGGGTGTGGTTACATTTGTTTTATCTTTTGTTTTGAGACCTGGCCCACAGCAGAAGCACAGAGGTGTCTCCTCAAGGTTGCAAGATCTCTGGTCTTCTGCATTGTCTAATTTGAGGCCCCACCCCCATCTGCCTGCCTGTAATATATATAATCCAGCTGCCTAGCACAGTTTCACAGCTTTACCCCTGAGCTACACTTCCAGCACTATACACTTGTTTCTGTGACAGGCCGAATCTTCCAAGCTATGGTCCTAGTGCCCAAGGATGTTGCAGGAAATTTCCCAAGCCAACCCAAGCCAAGCCAAACCAAAAGGAAGACTCTTTGCACTGAGGAGATAGGAAGACAGCATTTAGCTTTCTTTTTTTTCCCTTTAGTACGGGGGATTGAACTCATGAAGAAGGCAGCATTAATTTTTACACCAGTGAACTGTTGGATTTTCACACCAGTGGACAGTTGCAGAGATAATTCCTCTCACATGACTGCTCTCAATCAGGAAGGACTTTAGTTTATATAGAATTAGAAGTGAGTGGTACAGAGCAAGTGACCAAATGTTACATGATTGCTTACATACATTGAATCATATATTGACAGACAGGATATCTTGAAATAATACAAACATTCCATGAACCAATGGAGGAGGCTCTTACAGAATAAGTATACTTAAGGTCATTACCATAATATAGGAATTGTTCAGGAGAAAAAGCTGAATGAGCACTGGTCAGCCCAAGGTGCTTTAAGGTATAGGAAACTGCTCTGACATTGTCTGGGTCAACTGAATTTACCAGAGACAGCAGAACAGCAACTTGGTCAGAGCCCGCTAGAAATATCCATAAATTTACCATCTCATGAATGTGTTTCTACATTATAATTGTGCTCCAACATTGGCACTGGGGCTCATGAGCTGACTTCCCAGGGAAAGTCACCAGCTTTCTACACAGGCACCTGTTAGAGGCCAACATAGAGGCTCCAGGCCCCACCCTGGGACCTGGGTGGTGGGACACTGCTTCAAGTCGGCGGGGCACCCAGCTGCCAATTGGGCACAGGCCAGGTTCTTTCATCAGTACCACCATGCATGGCACCTTCTGCCTTCATCTCCCAGATTATTTGTTGATGTTGTTCCAAATGTTTACCTGTAGAGCTTTCTGGTGTCCCTTAATTTGCTTCAAGGGATGGGAGAAAGTGTGGTGGTGGTGGTGTCAGCTCTGGACAGACGGTGACTGTTAATGAAGCATGACACTATTCCTTATAGGGGTGCAGATAAGGGTGGCCACAACCATTGGCACATGCCTGTAATTCCAGCGCTCTGGGAAACTGAGCTGGAGGACCACAGTTTGAATTCCAACCTGGGTAACTCAATTGATTTAGTCTCAGAATAAAATACGATTTTATTTTATTATTATTTTTTGTACTGGGAATTGAACTCTTAACCTGGTGCTTCCAGGCAGGCACTGTGTTGCTGAGTTATATCTCTGGCCCCACAAAAATAAAATAAAAATCGTTTGGGGATGCAGTTCAGTGCAAAGGTCCTAGATTCAATCACCAGTTAAAAACAAAGTCCCTCCAAACAAACAAACAAAAAGCTGGCCACTGCGGATTCTAATTAGAGCGCACTAGAGAGGAGGAAAGGGTGCCACTTCGGTGGCAAACCAGTAGGCCACCCCAACCTGCCAGGGTCAGCACCGCCCCAGCTGAAGGGAGACTATTCCACGCCCAGCCGGAGGGAAAAGCGGCAGCTGGTCAGAAGTCTCCTGGCTGAGAGGGGCGAACGATTCAGCAGATCCAGCACCGTCGGAGGTCGCCGCCGGCCCTGGCCGAGGGAGTCGCTATTCCGAGGCACGGGGCCACATTCCTGCCCCCCGGGTGTCCGAGAGACCAAGGTTCCGTCCCTCCTCGGTGGGTCATGGCCTACCCACGCGGGAGAGTGGGCGCAGAGGCTGTTAGGATTTTCCTCGCGGGCAGCTCGGCCTCGGGGCCCCTCGCAGGCCACCAGCGGGTGGGGGGCAGCCCCGCGACGCCCTTTGCAGCCGGCCACCCTCCTCCCTCCCGGGGAGCTTTTGCACACGACGTGCGGCGGGCAGCTTCACACGGGGCGGCGAGGGCCGGGATAAAGCGGGCGGCGCGCACACGTGCAGCGCGGAGACGCGGACGCGGGGTCGGGGGCGCCGAGCGGGAGCGGGAGCGGGAGCCGCCGGTGTGCGCGCGGCGGAGCGTCCGGCGCGCAGCGTCCAGGCCGCTGTCGGCGAGGCGGGGGCGCGCGGGCGGCATGGAGGCCGCGGAGAAGCAGCACCTGTTGGACGGCAGGCGTGGAGTGGGGTAAGACTAGAGTCCGAGAGTCCGGGAAGGCGAGCCCCGGGGCATCATCTGACCCACCCCATCCTCCTGAGGTTGGTTTTGGCTGCAGCATGACCTCGGACCACGCCAGAGAGAAGGGGTGAGGCCAGAAGGGGAATTGGCCGTGGTCCCCATGCCCTGGGAACCATCTCTGCCTGTCTGCCGTGGAACACAGATCCTGACTCCAGTCTGTGGGAGCGGATAATGTCTGGAGAGCCGCCCACAGCCAGCCCTTTGCCCCCAAGAAGCCAGGGGAGGCTCTGTGCCCTGAGTGAGCCAGAGAGGAGCTCGCTCTTCACCCTGAGCCTCCGCTCTGTTCCTTCTCCACGCTCCACTGGACAGCGTACCTCTTGGCCAGTTCCCAAAGACTCCTCCTCTAGTCCTTGGAAGGAATGGGGGAGGAGGGAATGGTCAGGGTCCAAAGCCCCAAGACTTCCATTCCTCCAGCATCTGACCCCCAGCACAAGGGCTTCTCACCTTCTGGCCACTCCATTGGGCCCAGGAACTTCCTGTGTTCTTAGCTCTTCATTCCACTGGACACACGGGAGCACCAAGGGCCCCTGGAGAGATGGCTCCGGAGTCAGCCCTCTTTGTCCCTGTCTACCAGCCTGAGTTCCCTCTCTCTTCCACCCTCCCCTACCGGGAGCCAGGTCATACACAAGATCTCTGTGGCAGGACAAGGCTGGCTGGTTCCCTCAGCTGCAGCCTGCCCAGGACTTCCAGGCTGTTGAGCTGGCTGCCCACAGCAACCATTACTGCCATGCCCAGGAGAATCCAAGCAGTCACTATGACCCCAAGAAGGAGCGGGCCCGTCGCCAGCTCTACGTGGCCTCTGCCGTCTGTCTGGTGTTCATGATTGGGGAAGTCATTGGTAAGAAGTTTCGTGCTATTTAAATGAAATTGATGCATGGAAAGCCTGAATGGTCCCAGAAATACGAATACCGACAGCCCCACTGATTGAACCCTCTTCATTGAACCCTAAGCCCTGCATAAATACATTAGCTCAAATAATTCTCACAGCCAACTTCTGCTATCAACCATGCTATTTTCACCCCAATAAAGGAGGTTCAACTCAGAGCTTTCATACTGAGCTACATCTCCAGCCCTATTTATTCATTTATTTTTATTGTGTTTTGAGACAGGGTCTTACAAAGTTGCCCAGTCTGGGCTCTAACATTTAGTCCTCTCAGGATACTGGGATTCCAGGCATGCACCACAGTGCCCAGCTTATACTCTTTATTGTACAGATGATGAAACTGAGCTATATGAAAGTTAAGTAACCTGCCAAAAGTCACATACAGTGGGTAGGGAAGGTAAGTCCCGGATTTCTAGAAGAGAAGCTTATTTACTGAGTAACCATTGTATTTTCCAGCCCATATTTGAATTTGATTTTCATATTTACCATCTAAGTAGATGTTGTGAACTCATTTCAAAGAACGGAAGTTGAAGCTCAGAGAATTGTAAGCCCCTTGTTTATGGTCATACAGCTGGTAGACAGAGAGATCTTGAACCCAGTGTCTTTTTCCAGAGCCTGTGTGCTCTGCTGCACACACTCTGGGGAGTTGGCTCAGCAGAGAACTGACAAGGACCCTCTCCTGGCCCTGTCCCTGCAGGTGGGTACCTGGCACATAGCCTGGCCATCATGACTGATGCCGCCCACCTGCTCACTGACTTTGCCAGCATGTTCATCAGCCTCTTCTCTCTCTGGATGTCCTCCCGACCAGCCACCAAGACCATGAACTTTGGCTGGCAGCGTGCTGGTGAGGTCACCTACTGGGCTAAAGATGAGATTGAGGAGAGAGAGGGTGGATCAGAAAGGAAGTTCTTAGGGCGGTTTGGAGAGTCAGGCCTGACTGAGGTCAGCAGTGTGACTTGGGTGGGGGAAAGGATGTCAGCCATGGCCTCAGTCCTCTGGGAACTCAGTCCATAGGACAGCTCTAGTAAGAGTCAAATCCTAGGCATCCAGGAGCTCTGATTCCCAGGGAAGCAAAGTTCACCTTCCTATGAATACAGTGGTGGGCTGGGGATTTACCTCAGTGGCATAAGAACCTGCCTGGCAAGTGTGAGGTCATGAGTTCAATCCCCGGTACCAAAAAAGTAGTGGCTCAAGAACTTCAACAAGGCTGAGGATTTAGTTCAGTGGCATAAGCGCCTGCCTAGCAAGCGCAAGGTCATGAGTTCAATCCCCAGTACCGGAAAAAAAAAAAAAAAAAAAAGTCTCTTTGAGCTGGGCGTGGTGGCAAGCACTCGGGAGGCTGAAGCAGGAGGAACGCATCGAGTTCAAGACCAGCCTGGGCTACAAAGTGAGCTCAAGGCCAGCCTGAAATGCATAGCGAGACCCTGTCTCAAAAAGACAAAAAAAAAAAAAAAAAACTTCAACAACACATGACAGTGGCATTAGCGCTGTATATAACTCCATGGATCAGCTCTAGGAGGAGGGAGAGATCAGTTTCACAAGCCTTAAATTCTATCAGCTCACTTTGGAGCTGCATTGTCATTTTCCTCTACTGGGAGATGACCCAGCCTCCCTTCCTCAGATGCTTGTTTGCCAGCTGATCAAAAGGTATTAATAAGTCAGTTTCTTTCCCTATAAAACAAACAAGGTTGACCTGGGTGACTTCTTCAGTTCCTTCTATCGCCCACATGCTCAGACTCATGAGTGGTGGGCTAAGGTGTAACTATTCCAGCCACGCCTTCAGCGGGACCCAATGGGACTCAGGCCCTAACTTTGCAGTGGGGAGGAGAGACCATGAAGTGGGGAGGCCCCCAGGCTCACTTTGGTCCTGGTGGTTGGGTCTTCCCCAGAGATCTTGGGAGCGCTGCTCTCTGTGCTGTCCATCTGGGTTGTGACTGGGGTGCTGGTGTACCTGGCTGTGGAACGACTGATCTCTGGGGACTATGAGATTGAAGGAGGCACCATGCTCATCACGTCGGGCTCCGCTGTGGTTGTGAACATCATGTGAGTGTGGCCTCGTTTCCCTCAGCATGCCCCCCTCTCTGAGCGTACTTTGCTGTCACTGGAAGGCTATGTCACAGTCCAGCACAGGACAGGGGCAAACATTCACTAATAAATACTCTAGTACCTGCGATACCTGGGTTCTGCCTCAAGCTTAGGCCAAGGACACTGGGGGCTGTAAATCAGGGTTCACATCAACTCTACCCACTTCTCCAAACATATCCAAATAACCTTGAAGCCCTCATACTTGCAGTGGGGAGAGATGAGTGTAGATGTCCTTGGGGAGCCTAACTCACATCCTTTTCAAGCTGAAAAGTTGTAGCTGAAATTGATCTTGGTGTAGGAAGAGATGTCTTGAGCATGGATGACTCATTTGGACCTTTTACCTCTCTTGCTTAGTGACCTCAGTTTCCCCAACTGTGACATGACAGGGTGAACTAGATGACCTCCACACTGCCCTCCTGCTTTGAGGTTGTTACCAGCCTCAGCCTAGCCTTGAAGCTGAGCCCTTTCTCCTGTGGTTCTGAATCAAAACCACGTAGATGAGGCTCTTCTTTTGGCCAAAAGAATCACAGAGCCTAAGGGCCTGGAGATTTTGGCTCCAAAAGGAGGTTAGCCCTATAGGTATCTTCTATATTGCTGATTTGAAGCCTGTACTTCTACCTCAGTAACCCCTAGGCTTTGTCTCTACTTGTGTAGAATGGGGTTGATCCTGTACCAGTCTGGCCATGGACATAGCCATGGCAACGGGCATAGCCATGATGACACCAGCCAGCAGCAGGAGAACCCCAGTGTCCGAGCTGCCTTCATCCATGTGATTGGGGACTTTCTACAGAGCTTGGGTGTCCTGGTGGCAGCCTATATTTTATACTTCAAGGTCAGAGCTGGGGACAGAAGCGGGAGGATGGGGCAGGGGAGTGTAGATCATCTCAGCTTCCTCTCTGCATTGGGCACCTTCTAGATTCCAGCCCCTTCCCAGCTCTGGGCAAAAGATGGAAACAGAAAAGGGAATATCTTTCGAATACCTACTGAGTACCAGTACCTCTGTTCTTTACAACTGCCCCAAAGAGCAGGCGGTAATGTTTTATACAGCTCAGAAAGGCTTAGGGACTGGCACAGTGTCACACAACTGGCAAGCCAGATTCAAACCCAGGATTATATGTTGCTAAAGCCTGGACACTGCCCATTACATAGTAGCTAGGAGGTCTCATGGAGTCAGGCACTGAGTTTGAAGCTGAATGATGCTGAGTGAGTTGCTTGCTCACAGTGAACCTCAAATTCCCCATCTATAAGATGGGGATGTCAGGTCAAATGCTAAGATTCCTTTCAGCACTGTTTATGTTGGGCCCCTCAGAGAAGGGAGAGCTGGGAGATCCTGAGCCACATCCTGAGCTTCGGTCTGTCTATCTGTTCTTCCAGATGTGGAATAAAAGGCAGAAAGTAGGAAGCAGGCTAGGGTGCGAATTATGCCCACCTTGCAGAGAGAGCCCTGCTCCTCCACGGTGCTGGGGAGAAGAGGGAGTGGAGGTGTTAGTTGGTGAAGCCCAGATCTTCCTTGCTCTTTTCCTGTAGCCAGAGTACAAGTATGTGGACCCCATCTGCACCTTCATCTTCTCCATCCTGGTCCTGGGGACAACCTTGACTATCCTCAGAGATGTGATCCTGATACTAATGGAAGGTAATCTGGATGGTGGACTTTGTAGGCTTCATTTTGGTTCTTGGCTCTCAAACCATAATCTGGCTCAGATAGTGCATGTGGATATATTCATGTGTGTGTGTGTGTGTAAATCCCAGCACATGGGTAGGGAACCAGGTCCTGGAACCAGCACAGGCTGGAAACCTCTGGGTCCCCCAGCTGACCTTGGTCTAGAGCTGGGCCCTCAGGTCACTTCCTGGAAAAGTCCTCTGCCCATCATTGCTCTACTGCTAACCCAAGGGTGCCTCCTCCTCTGCCAGGGTGTGTCTTGCCCGCCTAATCAAGTGGCTTCTGGGTGGCCTCTGTAGTACGTGGAGCTCCAGCCTGACCATATATCCATACCCAGTCTGCTGCCTTCCCAAGAAGAGCGGCTGAGATTGTGTTTCCTGTGGCACAAGGAATGGCTGAGGCTTACAAAAGCACCATCAGTCTGGGATGAGGCTACTGAATCCACCCCAGTTCAGTCTCCGGCAGCCTCCTAGGGTTCAACACATACCCCTGGCTCAGGAGGCCCTGGGACTTGCAGGGTGGTGGAGAACGATCTGCCCTGCCACTCTACTTCACCTGGGCTTTCTTATGCTTTAGGGATTGGGGCTTGGGCCACCCATGGTTCTCTGCATGATCCAGATCAGTTTGGTGTGAAGTTGGGTGCTGCGAGTCTGGGGTTGGTGGGAGCATTTGGCTGTGGTTCAGAGCTTTTTCTCCAACAAAATGACTTGGATAAAAGTGATGACGATACCTCAGGCAGGTACAGGCACTCTCAGGTTCTGTTCCTTCTTTCTTTCTTCCATTCAAAACACTTACAGAGGTGCTGTTCTAGGCACATAGGATATGGTGGTGAACAAAACGAGCTCTGCTCTTGTGAGGCTTCCATGCTAGAGGAGGAGACACATAAACGGTCTAACGAGATGGTTTCAGATGGTGTTAACAGAAGAGGACGCAGCAGGATGCATGGGGAGTTGGGGAAGTGGGGTAACATCAGCTCTGTGGGCCAAAAGATTTCTCAGAGAAGGATGAGGGGGCAAACAGCACCTTTTAGCCCCTGTCCCTGCTGCCTTCAGGGACTCCCAAGGGCGTGAACTTCACTGCCGTGCGGGATCTGCTGCTGTCCGTGGAGGGCGTGGAAGCCTTGCACAGCCTGCACATCTGGGCGCTGACCGTGGCCCATCCCGTGTTGTCTGTCCACATTGCCATTGGTGAGTGGTTGGGACTCTCAGGACAGGGTGAGCGAGGGAGGCAGCCTGAGGCCACCCCTGTGGATCTCGCAGAGTCCCTCCCCTGGGCGCTTACTTGGAACATACTACATCTGTGCATCACAAGCTCATTTACTCAAGAAGTTAAGGCTGGGGGTGATGTTGGTCAGGTCCCTTGCCTGGGCAAACAAGTCCCTTGTAGCAACCAAGTGCAGAAGAAGGCAGATTCCTGGGCTCTCGAGGCTGGTACTTTTCCTGCTCTTTTAGGTCTGGGCCAGATATGGACTTCAAGGATTTGCCTGACACAAGAGATGAATCTGAGGGCTTTTGTGATACTAGGGATCAAACCGCAGTTACTCCACCACTGAGCTACATTCTCATTTCTTTTTTGATTATGAGACAAGGTCTCACGAAGTTGCTCAAGCAAAACTCACACTTGGGATCCTCCTGCCTCAGCTTCTTAAGTGCTGGGACCACAGAAGCATGTGACTGTCCAGCTTCTGGGGGCTTCTTCATGTTCATGGTCCCATATCCTGTTCTCCTGGGGGTAGGCAGGAGACTTGGGCTCATGTATGCGCCCAAGCTCAAGTAAACAGGTCTCTGGTTCTCCTCACCACCACCTATGTTGCGTCTCTTGCCCCAGCTCAGAATACAGATGCCCAGGCTGTGCTGAAGGTGGCCAGCACCCGCCTCCAGGGGAAGTTCCATTTCCACACTATGACCATCCAGATCGAGAACTACTCCGAGGACATGAAGGACTGTCAGGCGTGCCAAGGCCCCGCAGACTAACGGCCTGGCAAGGCACCAACTGAGGCTCGACTAGGACCTGCAAGTGGCCAGACCGAGTGTCCTACACACCCAGCCAGGACCCTGCCTACCCCACACCTCTCTCTTTCAGGTTCAGTGTGGAGCTCTGTCCCCTGTAGGAGTGGGGCTCTTCCTGGCCTCCCCATCTACCCACACCCACCCCCAGGGTAGAGACTAAGGAGCTAGCCCTGTCCTCCACCTCTAGGTCAGCTCCCCACAGGTCTTGTTTGAGTCTGATCCCCAGCTGGTACCATCCTGACACCCACAGTAGGAAAGTCATCAAGGCATAGCCTGGGGTGACAGAGAAGAGACTGGCCTGAAAGTTCCCCCACTGGCCTGCATTTCCCACCTGCATCCTGACTGCCCTGGAATGAAGCTCCTCCCTCTGCCAATAAGGTTTGAGGAGGCCATGGGGTTTGGGGTTATGAAGACCCTTGGACTCACATGTGCTCCCCTGAGATGTGCAGCCACAGGCACCTGAGGTCTGCCTATTACTTATTACTGTCACCTTACTTTTGGGCAAAATGCTTCCTTTTCCTGAAGGGGGAAGCTTCTTACTGGGTAACCTGGCTGTTTTCCTTGTTTCCCCCACGTTAGGAAGCTGGGCCAATGTACAGATACCCTTGACACAGTTTGAGGGGACAGGTTGCAGCTGTGGTCTGGCCCAAACAAGTCCTGAGGCCACTTCTGTCACCGTGACAGTGTTCCAGGGGATTATAGAGCCTGGAATTAGACATGACTGATCTGGCTCTATTGCATATATGGCCTCACATAATCAGAATCAGGAACAAATATTGCCCAGTATCTAACTAGGAAGGGAGAACCTGTCTTCTGGGATTTTGTGTACGATCACTCCTGAGTTAGGGGCTGACTTGTGTTTAGAAGAAGCAAGTGGGAATGTGGAGGACCACCTGGATGCAGCTCCTAGGAAGAAGAGCAGTTGTCTCCCTTTTGGCTAAACCTGGCCCTATTTCCATGTACTGATATGTACAGAGCTGGCTAAAACTTTTCCTTATCTCCTCAGTTGGCTTTAAGCAATGCAGATCAGTCCAGTCCAGGTGCTGATGTGTAGTCTTTGAATCAAAGGGACAGGGGAGTGTTACCCCATCCCTGCAGCTTCCAAAATATGTGTGAGCTGGGAGGGAGGGAGAACTGTGTTCCATTCAGTTGGTGGGTTCGAGCTTCTAGGTAAGAGGCTATGACTTCCCAGGGTATAAAAGATTACACATCAGAGCTGAAGCACCAACCCCCAAACATTAGATACTACCTCAAGTTGAGTTATGCAGATGACTCTTTCTGCATATCCTTCTCTATGCATAGTGCAGAGGTGACTTCAGGCCTCCTACCTAGCCCAGCTCACAACACTCATCTACTTCCCGCCATCTGCACAGCCACTCGTCATCAAGCCACTCCCTTCTTCACGAATGTGTAAAGCCAGGGTCCAGCCCTGGGTCAAGGCCTTTGTTTTGGTTAACCATCACCCTATCTGAACTTAACAGTCCTCCGTCACTCCCCACGACTATAAATATGCCTTAATGCCTTTATTCTGGCACTGGTTACGCTGGTAGTGGGAGATTGCTAGAATTCCAATAACTTTTCCATGGGATTGCAAATTTAAACTTCCCAGACCAAGAAGAAGTCTAGGAAAGGGCTCACCATCTCACAAAGGCAACCAGCCTAGTTAAGCAGGGAGCCTTGTGCCTAATGTCTGTCTCACCTGATGTCCACTCCTGCTGTTATGAGCAAATGTCCTTTGGCCAGTTGACCTCCCCATTCTTATCTGAAGACCGAAAATGGGACACCTACCTCACAGGGCTGTTGTGAGGGCAGAGCCAAAGATCTGGTCACCTGGCCAAGCACCTGGTAGTTGTTGGAGTGTTTACATTCACTGTCATCCTGGAAAAAGGGTACCTCTGTGGCCAAAGGTTGTCAGGTTTCCAACCTGCCTGGGGCAGAATTGAGTCTGTCTTGACTGTCCAGGCCATGGCAGAAGAGGAGGATCTGCTCACTACCCTTCTTTAAGCCTCTTCCTAGAGGACCTTTGTGTCTTTCCAGAGCTGTCATTGGGATTGTCTGTGACCTAAGCCAGGGGTCCTTCAGCCTCTGAAGGTAATTGGGAAGTCACCAGCATTAGTCTGGAAGTGGTAGGAGGCAAGAAGGACAGCTGATGATTGTGCTGCACACCACCAGAATCAAATGTCTGCTCTGCAATCCCTGCAGGCCAGCAACTTAGACCTTGGGCTTCCCTATGTGCCAAGTCCTTGCACCCCTCCCAGAGACAGTCACTTGGTGTCTTCTGTTTTTATATATGAGAAAAAGACTCAGAGAGGCTAAGTCACCCAGCCAGGGTGGAGCAGGTCTGGAATTTCTGCCTCATTCACTGGGCCACTTTGATAGCAGGGGCTGGGGACCTGCTCTGAGTTGGAGGCTGGTACAGTCAGCCCCTGATTTCAACAGTGCCCATCCCACAGGCAAGGCAGTTCAGCGCCCTGGGTGCTGAAGCCACAGTTGGAAAGGTACCGCTTTGCCCTGGCCGGTCTGGCTCTGGGTGCGCTCTGCACCTTGGAAGGCCGCCCAGCTGCAGCTGTGTGCTTCCTCACTCCCCTCCCCCAAACTGTCTGACCCTGGGCCAGACTGCTGCCCTCCCACTTTTATTTCCAATCCCCCTGCACCTGCAGCATCCATAGCACCCCGCCTCCCAAGGGACACCCACTCTATGTCCAGCAGTGTCCAGTCTCCAGGGAGGACTGAGTCATACAGGGGCCAAAGGTCAAGCTTGGAGGATGGGGGTGGGAGGTCTGGACAGGCCTTAGGGACACCATGTTCCCAATGATGACCTAGTCATGGGAGTTTCCACAGCAGCGAAGCCCTCAAAGCAGGAGGGCACCCGACACCCTAGACGAGACTGGACCCCTCACCCCCACTCTTTAGTCACCCGGGCTCCTGAAGAACCTCAAGAGTCCCCCTCCCGGGCTGGTGCGCACAGCTGCTGTACGTGTATTTATAGCCTGCGCGTGAAGGGGCAAGGACGCGCGTTTTATTTCGGAAGTGATAATTCCAGTTCCAGGTGGACTAAGCCAGGAGAACCAGTGCCCTGCCCCCCTCCACCCTCACAGGGCGCTGGGAACAGCCCTCCTGCCCAGTTTACCTGGAAACAGTTCCTTCTAACGGGGTTCCGAGTGTGCAAGCCAAAGGGGTGTGGCCGTTCTTTCTGATAATTCTCTTGTTTGCAGACCCGGGCGGTGCATACATAGTGCACACCGGTTGACCCTCCACGCCCCCGGCCCGCCCTCTCACCCCACCAAGCATAAGTTTAAACGCCCAGCTCTTCGGTGGAGGGAGTGCGGTGCAGCACTGACCCCTAGTGGTACAAATCGATAATTCAGGGAGGCTAGTCGGGCCAGAGCCCAGGACCCTGCGCAACAGGGACGTGTCACCCACGTTCCCATCCCTCGCCTTTCCCTGCCCTTCTTTGCTCCTTCCCTGGGGGGCGAGGATTAAGCCTGACAACCTAGGCTTCTTCACATGGCTGTCTTCCTCGCCGACTAGGAACGCCGGGGTGGGAGGGTTTTTCTCTCCGCACGCAGTGTCTGCGGTGGCTTAAGGTTAATGTCTCTCCTTTGTATCTATTAAATGTTTGCGCGCACCTGCCAGACTGGGGAGAAGGGGGCGCGACCCGCCCTCCGGACTCCCAGGCTGCCTGGGGGCCTGGCGGCGAGCACGTTGCCAGCCAGCGTGAACAGCGATGGGACCGCGGCAGCATCAACGACATCGATCCCTGGAGGTCGCACATAAATATCAGGCAAGGATCTGAAAGACAAAGAAACGTAGCTGGGCCAGCGGATCAGCCCGAGCCGAGCCGCAGCAGCAGAGAGCCAGGCTAGCGCCGCCTGACGGTGGGTGACGCGCGCCCTGGGAGCCGGGCTAGGACCTCCTATGGTCTCTCCTAGGGCTTCTCCAGCCTGCGGTACTTCTTGCGCTGCACAGACACTGGGTCCTTGAACAGCACGGGGTCCAGACGCAAGCGAGAAGGGACCAGAGGCATGTGGCCGAACTCTGCCACCATCCGGTTGATGCAGTCTTGATGTGGGGGCTGAGGCTGAGACCCGGACGCCGGAATCCTAGGAGCCTGAAAGGTTGGGGAGAAATGCCTCGATAGGCCTTTCTATCCTTCGAGGCTCCCACAACCCCCATCTTGGAGCCAGAAGGATTTGGATTGGACAGAGAAGGAGCCCCGCCCTGCCCCGCCCCAGACATGCTCTCCCAGTGCCCCCCTTCCCTCCCCATGGCCCTCACCAGTGGAGCAGCCCCCCGGTGCTGCTTGCTAAAGGGCACTTTAATAGGGGGCAGCTTGGTGGCTGCCGCTACTAAGAAGTTCATCAGGACGTCCACGCAGGCGGGTGCCTCATCTGCCAGGGTCCTCAGGGCCTTGGGCAGGGAGTGGGTGAAGAGAGTGTGGTAATACCTGGTGGAGAGGGGAGGACAGGGAGAGACTGCAGCTAAGTCCCCAAGTCCCTCTCGCCCTCAGGCCCTATTCTCCTCCCTGCTGACCTCACCTTAGCCTTCTGATCCCTAAGCCTCTTTCAAAAGCCCTGCTCCCTGCCCTGGCCACCTCAGAGAACTCCCACCTGAGTTATGAGCCACTCTCCACTGGCCCTGGCTTGCCTGCAGGCAATGGTGTACCCTGCTCAGGCAGGGCTAGACTGTGGGGGCCAGACAGGGGAGAATCAAACATGACCACCCAGATACCAGCTCCAGGAAGACTATGGAATAACTAGGCAAGGGGATGCTTCACGCGGATGCCCCACAGCACAAGCTGGGTCTGCCCTGCAGACATTAGGGATGGCCTACACCTGGATGAATCTGCAGAGATCCGGGTTACACAGATTGGTTGAAACATGCTGAAGGAATTGCTTTGAGGAGCTTCTCCACGGTGCAATCACTATGCCAAGAGTGAGGCCCTTGGGTACCTCAGGCACCCTGGGAAAGGCCTGGGATGGTCCCGAGCCCAGCAGACTCTCCTTTATAACACATCAGAACCATTCTCCTGTTACCCCCTCACCACCATCCCCATCCTGAACACTGTCTTTAACACACTGAACACTACACTAGCTATTTGTTGGCTGTGTGTGCTGGGGACTTGACTGGATGATCAACCATCCCTGTGAGGTGAGCACATCCCATTTTACAGACAAAGACGCTGAAACTCAAGTGAAGTGAGAGACTTGCCTGGGATGATGTTAAGTGGAAAGTGGCAGATCCAGGCCTTGAAGCTGGATCTCTGGGCTCTAGGCCACCCTAGCTCTGTTCAGGCAGGGAGTCTCAGGCCCTCAGATCCCTGCACCAGGCCAGCATTTGTACCTATGGTAGAAGGCAGCTGCGGTGAGAACCATGGAGAATTCATTGGCCATCTCAGCAGTGTAGCCCCAGCCGCTTCGAGTCTCATCCCAGAAGTGGTTCCATGTTAGAAAGCCCACCATCCGCTCTGGGAAGCTCTGCCACACCACAAAGGCAAAGTCTACCTGGAGAGAGATTTAAGTGGGCTGTGAGGAAGGACTTCTCAACCAACCAGAAACATCCTCATATCTTGTGGAAGTGAAGCTGGCCTGACTGAGGGCCAGGACAGGGTTCAGGGGAGACAGGATGGGAGCCATTGCTTGGAGTTGACTAGAAGTGTAACGTGAATGTTTCAGGGGCATCTTTAGGAGGGAATTTTCTCAGCTGGAGCCACAAAAATACTGTTCAAAAGGGTGTAAGAGGAGGGGCTGGGGATTTAGCTCAGTGGCTTAAGTGCCTGTCTGGCAAGTGCAAGGTCATGAGTTTGATTCCCACTACCAAAAAAAAAAAAAAGAGTGTAAGAGGCCCAGCATGGTGGTTCATGTCTGTAATCCCAGCATTCAGGAGACTGAAGCAGGAGGATCACCTTGAGTTTGATGCCAGCCTGGGCTACATAGTGAGTTCAAGGCCAGTCTGAACTATATAACAAGACCCTGTCTCAAAACAAAAGCTAAAAACACCCCAAAAAAGAGAGTCTGAGAGCCGGGCGTGGTGGCTCACGCCTGTAATCAGGATCTCTGCAAGTTCGAGACCAGCTTGGGCTACAAAGTGAGCTCAAGGCCAGCCTGAACTGCATAGAGAGACCCTGTCTCAAAAGAAAAAAAAAAAAGAGTCTGAGAACATCTCTGTTAGATTTCTAAAGAGGAAGTCCACTGGTTTGCTACAGTGGTTCCCCAACCAAGAGGCTGTATCTCATGCCCTGTGGCTCTATCCTCAGGCTCTGTGCCCACCACATTGGCTCCTCTTGGGCCCAGCTCACCTCACTTGTAGAAAGACTGCTGTGGGCATCGAGGCTGAGGATAGCATCAGTGCTGATGGCGCTGTATGGAAAGAAGCGGTCGCTGACCTGTAGTGGGAGAGGGTGAGGTGACTGTCACGGGGAAGCCCTGCACCATGAATAGAGCTCTTCGAACATGGTGTAGAGGAAGGGCTGCAAATACAAGCCCAAGACTCATTTAACTCTGGATTTCAGTGTCTCCTTTGGTTAAATGGAGCTGGTCTCTAGGGGCTCTTCAGTTGTGACCCCTCAGGTTCCCTCCACTGTCATATTAGATTATCACGCCAACCCAGAGTGGTTGTCAAGCATCCCTCATTTGAGGAAATGGGTCTGGGAGCTGAAGGGATTTACCCAGAAGCACACGGCAGACAGGTGGTGCACACCACCTTGCTTCTCAGAAGCCACCGCTTCCTAGCCCCATCTCTATCCATATTTCTCCAAGATCCCAGGTCCCCCTGCCCCATCCACACACTGCTCTGCCTACTCCCCTCGCAGAAAGCCTCGTACTCTGGCTTCACAAGGGGTGGGGGTGGGGGATCATTTCCATAGGTCCACAGGTTTGCAGCTGGAACCCAAGGTCTGATTTCTTCAGGCCCATCTTGAAGCCTGGCTTTGGTTCAGGCCCAAGCAAAAGGTGCTGGATACCTCCTCCGTTCCCAGTACACCCAGTGCTCACCTTCCTGTGCCCATCCATGACCGTCAAGGGCACTGTTGTCTCTGGCCACTTGAGAGGGAGTGGCTTCTCACTGCTCCAGAGAACCAGGATCTAAGAGGGAAGGGGTTCCTGAAGTCTGGGGCCAGGAGGGAAAGGTGGAAGAGATGCTTTGTTGGATCTGGGGTTCTTTCACTGCTGCCCTGTCCTTGCCTTTGGCCTTCCAGAAGGCAAGAAATCTGGTGTGGTTGTGATGGCCGCCAGCCAGGGCCCTAACTCCATGACCCCTTCCCATCTTTTCTCTAAATTTTGCAGTCTGTCCTCTGGCTTCTTTTCATTCTGAGCCCAGCCCAAATGTCCCTCTGAGCAGCATCTGAGCAGCAGTCCTCTTTGAGCATCTACCTGGCTTCTCTGGAGATGTGATTTGATAGTCTGTGAGCCAGGACATGCCAATGTGTCTGAATCCTGGGGCGGAATCTTGTGTTGGTTTTGTGCTGGGTTTTTTTGCATGCTCAGTGTCACCCCCCAGATTCTGAGCCAGAAAATAACGGCTGAGTGAATTAATGAATGTTTACTTCTCCAGCCTCCTCAAGAGGTACCAGCTGTAAAGGTCTTCGGCAATTCCATGGAATTGGGGGAAAGGGACAAAAAATGTGGTACTCAGGAGGAAGGCAGCCAGAACTCTTGGAAATCACTTGCCTCCCAAGAAAATATCATCCTTGGGCTCTAGGTATCCTGAAGATCCCTGTCATGCCCTTTACCCCACCAAGATCCCAGGACTCCAGCTGGTCAAGGGGGCAGACCTGGGCACAGTGCTGGGATCCTGCCACCGCCTGGATGAGCTTCAGGGGGTGCTGGCTGGAGGTCCCCACCCAGATCAGGGCGCTGAATCTGCCCTCAGGGCGGGAGCCTGGGGAAAGGACACATAGGCTGTTAGGGTGGATATAAACAGAACCCTCTGAGAATTCCTGAGTAGGGGACCCCAAGAGCCAGTATCCATGTTGGAGGCTTGGGAAGGTCTTAACAAGGGCTTATGGGTGAGGCCAGAATAGGCCTGGGGACAGATGAGCGGCCTTCATGTCCTATGTCCAGAACATACCCTGCTGCAGGTGGTAGAAGGGGAAATCCTGGGGGCTCCTGGAAAAAATGGACAGGGCCAGGAGTGCCCCTGGAGGGCTATTCCACAACAGTGAGGGGTGGGCAGATGCACCCAAAATCCGGTCCTGGATAATCTGTGAAGTGAGAGAGGAGGGATGGCCAGTGTCGCCCTAAAACTGCAAACCCTGAGGGCACATACTCAACCCTGAGGGTTAGGAAGTCAAGGCCAGGCAGAGCTTTGCACCTGCCCCTTAGGATTCTGAGGGCAGCAGCAGTGGCACCAGATCCCTGGGGCCAGAGGGTTGAGAGGCTGCAATCTAGAAGAGTTAGCATGGGTGATAGCCTCTTACAAGGGACAGAATTACAGACAGCTGAGTCAGACAGAACTCTAGGGCTTGCCCTTGAAGGGGTCAGGGCAGAAGATAAGTCACAGTTGTTGCAGTTCAGCCTTTAAGGTAAAAACGGAATGACTACACCTACATACTCCCTGAGGGATAAACAATACGATGACCGCTATCCTAAATAGGCATCAGTTACCTGGGTGGGCGACCAGGACCCCATGATCGATTCCTTCCAAAAAGGTCCTTGTTCTCTTCATGTACACTTGCTATATGACTTGCTTCCCCACTGATCACCATTACCCAAGTGACTATATTTGTAATCTTATTGATCAAAATTTTGTCCGAGATGCACCTGCCTTGTGATTTTGCTGTATAAATCTTCCTCCATGAAAGTGGAGTCCACAGGAACCCACCTTCTGGGTCCCTTCCTGTCTTCCCCTCAGTAAAATTTCTTCCTCTCGACCTCTGTTTTTCCTCAGAATTCATTTTTCAATTTCGGGGAACACAAACTCAGCGTATGGGACATCTAGCAGGTTCGGGGTTGTATTTCCCGGGCCCGTTTGCAGGTCCAGTATCACCAGACATGACAGGCTTGCTGTCTTCCTTTCCTTGGTCACTCAGCTGACAAACTAACAGATCATAATATTTTGGGGGGACTCAGAGTCCTGAACCGTCATGAGATTCTCCTCTCTACCCACCATTGCCATCCAGTGAAAGCAGCACGCCCTTTGAGTATGTGCCATAGCAGGGTCTCCTCAATAGATAAGGAAACCAAGGTCAGGATTAGAGAGGAAGGGGTCTCAGATCCAGCCCACAGGCAACTTCAAGGCGGAACCTCAAGACCGGGGAAAGAAGGGGCTCAGGCAGAGGAGTTTAGAGCCTGGGCAGATGAAGTGGGAATCCGGGGCAGGGCCCGGACAGGTGAGGGTGCCTCACCTCCAGAGTGGTGTGGATGACTTTCTCTACTGAGGAGAAGTAGGCGGCCCACAGGAACTGGGTCTGTTGGCGCAGGGCGAGGACCCGTGCGGGAGCCATCTCCTGGAGGGCAGCCAGGACCTGGGCACAGATGGAGAAAAGGCAGCGGCCTGAGACCTTGTCAGGCCCTGGCTGACCTTCGGAGAGACCTGAGAACCAGAAGGCTTCTACCTGCAGCTTTCAGCAGACGCTTTTGCCCAGCTGAGTTCAGGGGTCACACAGAGCTGGGTTTAAATGACAGTTAGAAGCCATGTGACTGGGTCCAGTACCATTCCACAGCAGCCCCAGAGGGAGGCTCAGGGCAGAGGAAATTTATCTGGACATGTAGATGAGGGATAGGAATGTGGCCTGAGGACAAGTGACCTGGATCTTGGGGTCCCTCCCAGGTCCTGGGTCCAGTCCCTCGCCGTGGGCACAGCCCTGAGCTACCTGAAGAGGAAGCCGCTTGTCAGCTACAATGGCCGCCTTGGTCCAGTCGATGACCTCAGAGAACGGCAGCTCCCAGTGGGGGCTGAGAAGCACAGGGATGCAGCCAGCCTGGGGGGCAGGGCAGTCACTGGGCAGCCCAGTCCCACCCCACACAGATTCACCCCCTTCCCAGGTCCAGGTCAGCAGCAGCTGCTCTTGGGGGCAGAGGGCAAAGAGGAAGGGAAGAGGGTTTAGCGGGGACGGGGTGTTGTTCTGCAGGGTGCTTGTGAGCGTGGCCATGGGTAACCCTGAGCCTCAGTGATGAAGTAAAATGGTGACTACCCCTTCCCAGGGGCCTGTGCCCATGGACTTAGCAGCTCAAGGGGAGGGGGACAGACCACGGGGATGCCCAAATTGGGGCTGTACCTGCAGGGCTTGAAGGAAGCGCGAGGCTTCAGCACGCTGGCCAGGGATGAGGCAGAAGGTCGCATTGGGCAGCTTTTCCTCAGGTCTGGTCCTAAGGAGGCACAGGACTGGGCCTGCACAAGTGAGCCTGAGAGAGCTGCCCCTCACCTCACTCCGACACCCAAATCCATAGTGTGCGCCATTGCGTGCTCACGTATTAGCAAACATGCATGGCACACGCAGCCACACTGACACACCACAAGCTGTGCCCCAGGAGACCGGGTCCCTGGGTTCTAGCTGTCTGCCCTTGGTGACTCAGACACCTCTCTTCCTCTCGCTGGGCCTCAGTTTACTCATTTGCAGAATGAGAGGCAGTGGGACCTGATGTTTCCCAGGTCCCTTCCCCTTGCACTCGGCCACACGCAGTCTGTCAGGCACCTTCTACCTGAGCGGCCTCCCACACCGGGAGGAGCCCAGGACTGTGAAAGGCTTCTCTGTCATGCGGTGGGCTGGGCCTGCAGCCTGGAACCACGCAGGAAGCTCTCGCCCAGAGGTCCCCTCACCCCCGGGAGGACAGGGCGCCTCTGTTCCTCTCCCTCCTACCCCCAACCCCAAGGCCACACTCAGGCTGTGAGTGCCTGTGGGGGAGGGGACGGAGTCACAGCCTCCTCAGAGCCATCTCCTTGGGTCCACTCACCCAGGGAGCCATTGTCCATGAGCCAGGTAGGGAGACAGGGTCTGGGAGAAAGGGGCTGTGGGGGGACCAGGACCCTTGGGCTACATAGACTGAAGCTGAGGGGCGGGAGCCCAGAGGTTCCCAGGCCCCTCCTCTGCTGCAGCCCATCTGGTTGGCAGTCCAGTCATCAAGAAGCAGACCTGGGAATGTCAGGCAGCATCTGAGGCAACCCCCACTGAACAATGGGGAGACTGAGTCCCAGAGGGGTTGGGGCAGAGCAGTGTCAACCCTAACCCCAATTAATGAACTGCTTAGGGGTCTCCAGAGGACCCAGGTCTCCTTTCTCCTCCACTTGAGACTCGGGTGTCCTCCAGGTTCCCCCAGAAGAAGTCAGGGTTAAACTTTGGGATACCCTCTGTCACATTAAAAGTCAGCCACCTGCCAAGCAGGTAGAGTCCTCTTCACACACCCCTCCCCGCACCTGTAAACTCTGAAGGCCTGAAAACCCCTAGGTTAGGAGCCCTGATGACTGATGTGCACCCCTGGCCCTGCCTCCCTGTGTCCACCTCAGTGCCCTTGTCTACCTGCATCCTTTCCTGGCACCTGAATATGCCTCCCTGCCTCATAGACCAAGGAACTCCTCCTACTCTGCATTAAATTCTGAGCTTACACACTGCCTCCTATGGGAAGCCCCCCTTAACTTCCAGGTAATGTTAATGGGACATACATTTTGCTCTCGACCCACTTCTGTGTGCTTTACACTGACTAACTATTCTCATAGCAATTCTATGAGATGGGAAACATGTGCTGATATTATCCTATTTTACAGAAACAGAAACTGAGGTCCAAAGAGGGCATTTGACTCTTAAGCCGAGGAGCCAGACAGGCAGATAGATGTGCAGCCTCTCTCTGATTAACAGTGTGAATCAAATCGTGGAATTGTTTGTCTCTCTTATGATACTGACCTGCTTGAGAATAGGGGCTACGTCTCCTTCATCTTAGCATCCTAGAGCCCAGCAGGGTGGAGACTGAACACTCAGTGGGTGCTAAATTGATGCATGTTCAGTGTGGCACTAGAGGATAGGGCCAAGACCAATGGACAGGAACCCAGGGGGCTGATTTCAGCACAAATCCTAGTAATGAAGCTGAGGGTACAGATAGTCATGGGAGGTGGTGAGTTTCCCATCAGTAGAGTTAAGTAAGCAGAAGCTCAATGTGCAACCTCGTGGCCCTTGGCGAGAGTGTGTCACAGAGGGCTGCATCGGTGGAAGGCCAAGGAAGTTCTAGGATCCTACGACTCTGTAGGGTGTTTGCCATAGATCCAGGACCTCAGAGTCCATGGGTGCTCATTGTGGCCCTGCCCATGGCCACAGGGCTCCATTTTGGTCTGGCCACAGGCAGGGAGGGCCACATGATAATAACTTCCATGTGCTTTAAGTACTTTGAACTTTGCAACTGGTCCTGCTATGAAAAAATATTAAAATTATATTTGATACTTATGTTAGTATAAAGTCAAACTTTCTTTTTTTGAGACAGGATCTCACTTGGTAATGCAGGCTGGCCTTGAACTACCCCAGCCTGGCCTCGAACTCACAACCATCCTGCTGCCTTAGTCTTCCAAGTGTTGGGATTCTAAGTGTGTGCTGCAATGCCTGGCCCAAATAATATTACATGTTAAACTTTTTTCTATTTAATTGCTCATTTTTTTCCCTTTGAAAGCATTTTCATGCACTTTAAAAACAGGAATGGAAGAGAGACTTTTACTGTGTACCTTTTGTGCCTTTGGAATTTCATGCCCTATGAATGAATTCCCTATTCATAAAAATATATAAGTAACAATTTCGGTGGGTGGACCCTCCTTCCGAAGCAACAGAAGACTGTTCAACCAAGGTGGAAAAACTTAGGCGCTGGAGCCAGAAGTACGGGGTTTAATCCCAATGCCAGCCCTTCCAGGCACCAGATCAGAAAAGCGAGGGGGCCTAGGCACAGAACTGTGTCACCTAAGGGCTTGGTTCATTCATTCCCCCTCTCTGAGCTCAGGTTCCTGTGCCCTGAAACAGGCTAACAATGGTTGCCTTGAAGAGCGCTGGAGAGAATTTGCAATGGCAGGTAAAGTGCCTGGCACGGCACCAGGTCAAGGCTGAGGGATGTGGGACAGTGGCGGGGACTGTGAGTTGCCTGTTCTTGGTCAGTGCTTGTTTATTCAGGCCACCCTCTGAGGGCTGGCCCCGTCGCTGTCGGCCTCCCTCTCTCTATTCCTGTACTGAATGTCTGTCCCAGGAAGCTGCTTGGCTGGCACTCCAGAGAAACTGAGGCCCCAGCTAACACAGAAACAATAGACCCTTGTCACCTAGAGTAGGCTGAGGCCAAAGTTGCAATTCCTTGTGTTCAGAGGCCAGTGAAAAGCTGCCAAGCTTTGGATTTTGGATATAAACTTTTCAAAGATGCTACCCAAACCTGGGGCAGTGGTGCATACCTATAATCCCAGCTAGTTGAGACAGGCTGAGACAGGAGGGGAAAAGTTCAAAGTCAGCCTGAGTCACTTAGCAAGACCTTGTCTCAAACTAAAAACATTAAAAAGCCTAGAGAGGCAGCCCTGGGTTCACTTCCAGTGCTGGAAAAAAGAAAACCCAAAAACAAAAACAAAAAAATCCCCTCTCCTATCCAAGGGCAGCCCATACGCATGAGAAAAATAAACTGTGACCAGTTCTGGCCCTTTTTAGATCCACCAGTGAATATTTAGTGTGCGCTCACCTACTTACTGAATGCAACTTGCACTGCTCAGAGTTCAGACTGACACAGCTCTGCGTTCACCAATAACCAACTGCACTTAGCAGCCGCCAAGCCAGCCGAAGGGGAACTTCCTACAAGCAAGAACGGCTGAGCAGTGTGCACTCGGGCGGGTGGCTGCTGGGGGAGGCGGGATGACCAGGCACCTGGTCACCAAGGGTGGGTGTCCATCTAGGTTCTGAGCTCTGAGCCTGCGGAGCCTCGGGAGAGCCCCACTCCTCGCCTCGCTGCTTAGGATGGATGATAGGGCTGGGTCCCCCCAGAAGGGATGATGGGATCGCAAGGCAGTTCCCTTCTTACCCCTAGCAGAGCGGCTCCCTGGAGGCCTCCAGTCGCCTTTAGGAGGTAAGCAAATTTCAGTCCCGCAAGAGCCTTCGCTGAGAGGAACCCCGGGGGACCCCCCTGGCCACGTGAAGAATTCCCAGGAGGGAAGCGCAGCTCAGAATAGTCATGTTCGTGTTTTGGCACAGCACGAGAAGCAAGCCCCAGGGAGGACTCTCCAGAAGGACAGGGGAGGGACCGTTTCCAGCACAGGTCTGCTGGAGGACAGGATGGAGAGGGAGCCCTTTGCTACCAGGGCCAAAAAAGCTGAGACGGAGCTTCCACTCTTCCCCTCCCTTTGGAAGCTTCCTGGAGATGCAGGGGTTTCCAGAGCCTGGATGCTAACCACTTCATCACCTGAGGTGTGTTGCCCCAGCCAGTCTGGGGGAAGGAGGTTCCTGCAAAGCCATGTTCCACAGGCCTCTGTGACCGTATTTACATCCAGGCACTCTCACCGGCAGGATCAAACCTAAGTCCTGTTTACTACAACCAAATGCTGTTTTCCTCAGAGGTAAATCCCCCCAAATTAGACAGGAACAGCTTCCAGTTGTGAGCAGTTACTAATCTCCAAGATCCCTTGGGAGCATTTGACAGGGCTGACCATAATACTCTTGCTTAAAACTCAAACGTCTCAAACAGAAGGTTCTAGAAATAGGTAATTCTAGGGCCGGGAATATAGCTCAGTGGCACAGGGTATGCCTGGCAAGCATACGGCCCTGAGTTCGATGCTTTGTACCAAATTAAAATATTGGCTATGCTCCTGTGATCCTTTTGGCTGTGTGACCTCAGATAAATGACTTAACTTCTCTGAGCAAGTACCACCTGATCCTAGTGTCTGGTATATGAACACTTAGACTAGTATTAGTTTATTATGTATAATCATTATTTATAAAAGTGCTTATCACAGAGTAAGCACCATGTAAGTGTATGTTACATAAAATGTTAGGGTAGGAGGGACTGGAATAACAGAAGGGAATAAGTACTTGTGAGTCAGGCTTTGTTTTTAAAGATTCCCAAGGGAGAGCTGCAAAATCTGCCTTTGACACTTCAGAGGTAAATCACTGCCTTGGTGGAGGTACACTCTGTTATTTAACCCGACTCCCTTCTGCTCTAGCAGACCTAAGTTTGCTAAGACCAGCTGGTGCCCTGTCTCCGTCCTGCCCATACTCTCTGCTCTAGGCTTCTCCTACCACTGCCTTCCTCCCGTCCAGCCCCACAAAGGGAAGGTTCACTTACTGCTTGGGTCCAAGGTCTTGCTCACAGTGCCCATCCCAGGGGCAGGTGGAGGAGTAGGTGCCTGCTGTACGCCACCTGCCCCCCTCTTCTGCCAGGGCTAGCAGGGCTGCCCTAGGGTGGGGGCTGTGCTGTTGCAGCTGGCCAGGAGCCCCACCTCGAAATGGGTGGGCTTCAGGGAGAAGCGGGAGTGCCACATCGAAGCCAGGCCGGAAGGTGTCCACTCTGGGGCTGGCCTGTGCCACCATTGCCTGTCCCAGCTGGGAGGCCTGGGGGCAGGGGTCCGGGTGGAGACGGATGACCAGGTGGTTCCTGCCTCCGTTCCAGTGTTGAGGAGCAGGGCCACACTGTCCATCTGGGTCTTCTGGGCTGAGGACGAAGAGGAGGCAGGCCTCTGTGAGATTGCGTGTGTGGTAGCGGGAGCCTTCCAGGGAAGCCAGGATCCTGCGATGCATCTCAGAGGTTGGTTGAGCAGCTGCATGTGCAAATACCTTGAGGCCATCACCCCTGCATCTGGAGGTGTCAAAGCAGATTCCCCAGCTGCAGCTGGTACCATGGGGGGCTTGAGGAGGTTGAGGGACATCTTCTGGGGGCTCTTCAGGCTGGGAGAAACTCCGCAGGGACGCTGTATCCAACCAGCGGGGCCAGCCCTGGGGAGCGGCAGGCTGAGGTCTGGGGGACACTGCTAGGCGGAGAAAGGGGAAAAACCCCAGGAGGGTAAGGAGGAGACTGGAAGCTGACAGTGCCAGCCAGAGAGACCTTCTTCTCCAGAACTGCATTGGCCACCCACAACCAAGGCTGGGGGAAGCCAGGTGCCTCTGCCGGCGAGCAGGATCTGAGGGTGACCAGGGCTATGATCAGTCCTCTAGTCCAGCATTGTCATTGCACAGACGGGAAGACTGAGACTCATGAGGGCAAGCTTCCTGTAGAAGTCAAAAAGCAAGTCACTGGCCACCCAAGAGGGGTCAAGGCGAGCCAGCTTTCTGGTCTTGCTTTCCTGTGCCCAGAGCTCCGTTTCCTTGGCATCTGCACAACCCAGCCAGCCTTTGCCCCACCAGCAGGGCCACCTGCCCCTGGGTACTACTCAGACTGATGCAATCCTTGTCCAGACTGCAAAGCAATGTCCCTCTGCCCTCGTGGCTGCACCCTCTGCCCCTGCCCTTGACTGAGAGGAGGGCTGTCTGCCAGGCCATGGAGGATCGGTCAGGGCTCCCACAAGAAACACGCTTGCCAGGCTCAAGGTTGGAAGGAAGTAGGGCTGGTCTCCTCCACTCCCCCACAGCCCGAGTAGTCCCTGAGCGGCTCAGGCTACCCCTGCACCCACTGCCAGGCACTCCTGTGGCTGGAGCTAAAATTAAACTCTGTGCCCATGCAAGGCCATCAGAGTCAGCTGAAGTCAGAGCCCTTTGCCTGGGGGACCAAGCGGACTCAAGGCTCTGGTCCTCTTACACTCTACTCTACAGCTGCCCTCGCTTGGGCAGCACCGCCGCTCCCCAACCTCACAGCCACCCTGGACCCTCGAGCTTGGAACTCTCACAGAGTAAAGGCCAGGTCCGCTGAACCCTTTCCTGCCCCATGCCCCCCAAGCCCTGCCAGCTCCTCTGTCTCCGGTCCCTCTCCAGGCAGCATCTGGCAGGTCTAGGTCTCTTTCCTAGCAGCAGCCTGGCTCCGCCCCGGCCAGTCCTGATTTGCTCCTGGCTGGGAGGCAGGGTCTCCACTTAACCCCTTCCAAACCAGCTCCCTGGGTTGCTAAGGATAATAACCAGCAATAATAAGCCTCATGGCTGGCCAGGAGCTATCACAGCCTGTCTCTGAATCTTACAGCCAACTCCCAAAGCAGCGATTTCTCTGTCATTTTTTTTTTTTTTTAACACATAAGAAACCTGAATCTAGAGGCTGGGGATTTGGCTCAGTAGCACAGCATCTACCTGGCAAGCATGAGGTCCTGAGTTCGATTTCTGGTACCAAAGAAAGAAAAAAAGAAAAGTGAAGCTAACACAAGGAATGGAATCTCTTGAGGTAATTCAGCTAAGTCTCTGAGTGGAGGCTTGAACCCTGAGCTCCTGACCACCGGTCACCGTCATTGTGTGTTTGAGTGTGTGAGCTGTCAAATCAGCAGATGGGAAAATCAACACACAAGGGGTTAGGGTTGCTGCAGAGGAGTTAGGGAAGGTATTTTGGCCTGTCCCAGGGATTGGTCCCCTCTTCCTTTGGGGTCCCTGCCCCATGCTCATCCAGCCCCAGCTCTTTGTTCCATCAGTGTAGCAAGTTGTTCCCGAACTCCATGCCTTTGAGTGCATGCCTCCTCGAGAGAGTTCCTGGCTGCTCCTTAATCGGTGTTCCATTAGAAGAATCTGCAATGTGCTCTGCCACACACTGAGGAACAGCAGAGGTTCTGGGGAGACCCAGGAGCACCAGGTTGGTGACTGAGGGCGGACAGGGAGCCTTGGAACTGGGCTCTGGCACTCCCTCCCTCTGCCTCCCCATCTATGTACAACTTGAGAGAATTGCCAGGTTAGATCCAGACCTGTCCCCTGAGGCTCCCACTACAAGGGGTGACCTTTTTCCTTGTTTGTCTTCCCCTGAGCTGAGTGCTACTAATTTGATGGGGGAGCTCCCATGGGAACATTCTACCCAACATGAGCACCCAGTGTAGGGGTGGGACATAGTCCATATAGCCAGGAATGTCCTGAAGATGCCCAGGAAGGGAAGCAGGCCTTCCTGTTGACAATGGTGGCTGACCATTCCTGAATACACCGAGATCTCTCCTACTAAAGCGTCAGGCATTTGCACAAGCTACGAAGGCCTTCTGCTCACCTTCCAGGAAGTGGCAGAGGCCTCCTTCTGACAGGAAGCCACCCCAACCCTCTTCGGACTGAGTCAGGTCCCTCCTCCAGGTCTTCCCTCGATCTCTGTACTCATCCATTCATACACTCCTCCACCTGACCAAGACATAAGAGACCAGTTCCGGGACGGTTCCACAGGGGGCACTGAGGATGCTACGCTGAGCAGGGTAATAAGACAGGAAACAGGAGGAGGTGTCTGGAGGAGAATAGAGAAAACTTGTTCCAAACCACAGGAAACATCTGCCTCTAACAACTAGGACACACCTAGTGTTACTAGTTGTCCTAGTCAAAACAAGGGGGCACAGAAACTGCAGGCTTCTAGAGGAGCCCCAGATGGCTTTCCGAAGACTACAGAAAGCATCTGGTTCTAACAACTGGACCACACCTGGTAAACGCAAGGGACTCATGTACCATAGACAATCCTCAGCACCCAAAGTGACCTCACATTAATTATAATTTCATTTGCATTGCCATCTTGGTCCTTCCCATCATGGACTTTGGGCACTATGACAGTTCCACAAAGGTCCATACACAGACAAAAAAAAAAAAAAAAAAAAACACAAAATACAAAAAAACTACATCAGAAAGAAAGAGACTTGCTCCTAATTGGAATAATTAATTTCTTTTTCTTTCTTTTTTTTTTTTTTTTTTGTCTTTCTGAGACAGGGTCTCACTGTGCAGTTCAGGCTGGCCTTGAGCTCAATTTGTAGGCCAGGCTGGTCTCGCTCTCCCAACGATCCTCCTGCCTCAGCCTCCCGCGTGCTGGGATTACAGGCATGAACCACCACGCCCGGCTTGGAATAATTCATTTCATCAGCTTAAAGAGTTGCCTCTTTCCTGAAAAAGAAAAAGAAAAACAAACACAAAGCACCACACACAGGCCCTGGGATCTGGTTTGTTTGGAGCCGTGAGCTCTCCTCACTGGCCCGCTCCCATCCTGAGGAGCGTACTTTCACTCTAAATAAACCTGTGCTGCTCTCACTCTGTGTGATTGGTTCAATGTCTTCCTCAGGATACCGAGAATCAGGGACATCCTCCCCATCTCAAGTGTCCCGTAGTAGTAACAGCCGACATGCTAAGTGTGCTTGAGGTGCTAAGGCACCAGCTCACCTAGTCCTCTCCCCCTCCCTTTATACAGGAGATACCGTTCTTATCCCCATTTCATGGGCACAGACACTGAGGCCCAGGGAGGTTAAATTGCTTGTCTACATTCTGTTTCTTTAACCATTCTACCTGCTGTGTGAGACAGATGCCCTCTTGCCCTCCTGAGCTCATTCTCCAGAAAGAGAGGCTGGTACCTGGCAAGCTCAGAATGGTGGTGGTGGAGGGGCCTTGGAAGATTACAGGCAGCTCCCTCCCCCAGAGGTGGAGATGGCTTCTGAAGTGATACCTACCCCAAACCTGAAGGGTAGCAGTGTGGTGTTTTGGGGTTTCTCTTGTTTGCGGTGCCAAGCTCAAAGCCAGGGCTTCATGATAGAGGAGTGATCCAGCATGCACTTCATCCCGTGGAGACAGGCAGGAAATGGCAGACATGTGGGCAGATTGGCTCTCGATTTCTGGTCTTGTCCTGGTTTTGACCAGGGCACCTGACTCTGGGGGTCTGACAGACTGCATTCTGCTATCTGCCGAAATGAGACAGGGATTTTATTCTCAGTGTGGTCACGCTGAAACAGGGATGGGGCCAGCGTCCTATGCCCTGCCTTGAGGGCAGTGACAGAGCGTTAGGATCCTATGGGGTAAAGTACAAAGCCCGGAGGGTTGGAGGAAGAAATAGGCACAGGTAACCAGTCTGGTGAAGCTGTGATCCGACTGGTCAGCCTCTCAGGTATGGGTTCTTGGAGGTCCTGCTGGTTCTGGGTGGGGAGGTTGGTTTCTGGCACAGTAACCGCTCCTTCTTAAGAGAGTCGTCTTATCATGGGGTAATCTGCCTGTAAGGCTTGCTTGCTATTCCTGGCATCTTGAAAATATCTTACTCTTATCTTGGTATCTTTGGTCTGCAGGGAGAAGAGAGAAGTTAGGTAAATTTAAGACTAACCATCCTGGTATTACCAGTTTTTAAACAGACACTCCTTAAATGATGCTGGCCTCTGCGTGCAGAGTGGAGCAGGCCAGCTGTCAGCTCTGCTCTCCTCTGACTTTCTCCTCACTGGCACCAATAGAATAAATGTCCAGCAAAGGCCCATTGAACGGTGAAGGATAAATGGAGAAAGCCAGCAGCTAGGGGGGATTGCGGACACCTGATCCTGGTCTGGCTGCGGGCTCTACAGTGGGCTTACATCCAAGCCTGCTCTTGAGCAGACAGACAAGCCCTCTCTTACCTTTATGCCCGCAGGAGAGGCTCTCTGGCCAGCTGGGTCTGGGCTTGTCTGGAACACAATTCACATGCCTGCCCGGCTTGGATGGGGGAAGAGAAGGTGGGGCATCCTGGCATGGAGGACTGAGTTGAGCTCGTCCTAAAAATAGATCTCTGTGATCTTCCAGGAGCTCCCAGGCACTGAAAGAGCTCTGCGCTCATCAAAGCCTCTGGAAGACACTCTCCTGTAGCAGTGCTGACCTGTGGAACTGATGCACTGGGGAGGAGGAAGTGGACCAGGGCAGGAAGGAAGGGGCAGAGGCCTGGCTTCCTGGAGGAGGCTGGGCAGGCCTGAAGCAGGCCTTTACGTGGATGTGAGGTCCAGGAGGTGCTCTGGATGGCAGCCCAGAGCTCCGGGCACTGCAGGATCTTTTCTACTGCAGAGGGGATCCCACACCTTACCCTGGAGGCTTCTGGGTCAGAGGTTGCTTCCTGCCTGCCATGGCAGGTATCACACCGGTCAAGGTGCCCCAGGCAGAGAGCAGGGACTGACACCATCAGTGTGAACTGAAATATTTCCTCTGCATCCTGTTTCGGCTTTCCCGTCTCCACTCCTTCTGCCCAGGCTGGGGCCAAAATCTCCGGAAAGAATGGCAATTGTGTTTAGAAATTCCCTAAGGCCCAGCAAGTGTGTTTAGGGGTGTTAAATAGCTGACTGTATCAATGTTTTTGGATCATTGAACACAGCTGTTTGCAGTCTACCTGTTTGAATGTCCACCTTGTATTCTTTGATACTGTGATTTGAGGAACTATTTTCAAGATGATAATATGTAATATACTAACAGGTGATTTCTTACTGTTATGTTTTTTTTTGGTTGTTTGTTTTGTTTTTTTTTGTTTTGTTTTGTACTTCTGTATTACGTGTACCCTTACACCGCTAAAAAAAAAAAAAAAAAAAAAAAAAAGAAATTCCCTAAGGCCTGCAACACTGTGTGCTGGGGTTAAGAGTGCAGCCCAAGCGCCCTTACAGAACTGTGAGTTCCTTAACCCCTCTGTGCTTCTGTTTCCTCGTGTAAGATGTGGGTGCCCATAGAAACTCCGCTTTAAAGGTTTGCTGGGAATAAATGTACGTGAGATAAGGAGGGCTGCCTTTGGCACGCCATGCCTGGCACGAGGTGTCCTCCAGCCCTCCTCAGGCCCAAGGGAAGCCACACAGGGGTAGATCAGGACCTGAACTTGGAGTTCCCTGTGCTTGCTGCAACTCCACCTCTTGCTGCAGGAAGAAGATGCTTGAACTACAGGTGATGATCCCTGTGAAGCTCTGTCTGTGGCTGGCTGCTCCTCTGGCTCTGGACTGCCAGGGTGTCTCACTAACGGGTGCTGTGAGGCCTGAGATTTCAGCAGGCTCAGCTCTATTCGCTTGCTCTAAGATGACACTAAACTCTCAGGAATCTTCACAAGACTCTGCAGCATCAGTCAGCTC